GTAACTTATCATTTAATGATAGCTTCTGTACCAGATGACTGGGTGATAGCTAATTTTTTTAAAGGGCTCCAGAAGTGATCCCAGCAATTACAGGCTGGTGAGCCTAACTTAAATATTGGGCAAACTGATTGAAACTATAGAACAGAACAAAATGGTCATACATACAGATAAACATAATTTGTTGGGAAGAGTCAATGTGATTTTTGTAAAGGGAAATCATGCCTCACCAATCTACTGGAATTCTTTGAGGAGTCAACAAGCATATGGACAAGGGGGATCCAGTGGATGTAGTGAGCTTAGCTTTTTAAAAAAATCTTAACAAGCTCCCTCATCAAAGGCTCTTAAGTCAGGTAAACTGTCATGGGATAAGAGGGAAGGTTCCCTCATCAAGACTATAATAGGATTCAAAAAGATAACTCATATATTCCTGGAGGATAGGTCCATCAATGGCTATTAGCCAGGATGGGCAGGGCTGGTGTCCCTAGCCTCTGATTTCCAGAAGCTGGGAATAGGAATCAGAGGATGGATCACTTGATGATTATCTGTTCTATTCATTCCCTCTAGGGTACATGGATTTGTAAAAGACAGAATACTGAGATTACTTTAGGTGTGATTCAGTATGGCTATTCTTATGTTCTTCCCTTCCAAGTTCTTCTTAGTACAGAAGCATCCTTAAACTGTGTCTAGACTACATGCCTCTGTCAGCAGAGGCATGTAGATTAGACAGATCAGCAAAGGCAAATGAAGCCGCGATTTAAATGATCGCGGCTTCATTTACATTTACATGGCTGCCGCGCTGAGCCGACAAACAGCTGATCAGCTGTTTGTCAGCTCGCACGCTAGTCTGGACATTCCCCCTGTCGACATCAAAGCCCTTTGTCAGCAGCCCCTTTATTCCTCGTGGAATGAGGTTTACCGGGGCTGCCGACAAAGGGCTTTGATGTCGACAGGGGGAACGTCCAGACTAGCGCGCGAGCCGACAAACAGCTGATCAGCTGTTTGTCGGCTCAGCGCGGCAGCCATGTAAATGTAAATGAAGCCGCGATCATTTAAATCGCGGCTTCATTTGCCTTTGCTGAACAAACAAATCTACATGCCTCTGCCGACAGAGGCATGTAGTTTAGACGTACCCTTAGGGCTAGAAAGAGGGAAATCTAAATTGGCTTTAATGGGGCGGAGGGGGAGGACAATATACTATGTTTCTGTTGCTGGTCCTGCTAAAAACTACCTCTGTCTGTTTGAATTAAAATAGTTATTGGGCCCCATACATTTCCATTGGTAGAATGAATTTGACAAACTTTGTTATGCCTTGGCGTCCTGTTCACTCAGTATTCATGCAATTTGGAATCACTTGTGTTTTTTTCTTGCTGGAGTCCAGAGATAATGCTCTCTAAAAATTCTCATTCCAGTAAACAAATTAGAGGGGAAATGTGCACTAAGACTTATCACAAGGTATTTTAAATATACATTTGCAAAACTTTTCAGTTCAGTGAAGGGAGGTTTTTGTTTGTTTGTAATCCACTGTGCACTAGTTTCTGGTGACATTTGAATAACCAGATCATGTCTAGTGAGAATGTGAGATCAGTCAGTGGCCTCAGTAGAATCCCTTTTGGACTAGTTTTTAAAATGCACAAAATTGTTCTTGACTAACTTTGTAGCCACCCCAAAAACTAAGATGATGGGGCACCCATGCTTTCATGCTCTTGAATAAAGAGAAGACTTTATTCTCTAGTGCCCTTCAACATGTCAACATTTTTAGAAGGGTAGGAGGAAAATGAGAGAATGACATGCTATACATCAAAACTCAAAGTTCTAGCATATTCAGCAGGTTGCATTTTTAGAACCCAAACTCATTGCAGCATCAGAGGGAGTAACACTACTAAAGTCAGTTGAGTTCTCCCCTTGAGCATCAGTGGTGAATCCTTGTACCTTGTTTCATAAAGGTACACTATTAACATTTTTGAAGGTGGCTTACAATGAGAAGAGTTTCCATTTTCATCCATTAGAGTCCCTTAGAAATTGTAACTTTAGATTTAATCAACATGGATTACCAGGAATTAACAAGTGTGTCCTCAAACCCAGGGATCCAAGATCAAGAGAAGTGTCAGTTGTCTGGAGAAAACAAGACTAATGGTTATTCCATGCCAGTTTAAGAAAAGGCTTTCATATGTGTCAGTGATATTTTTATTGTTTTAAATCTAAGAAATATGGGTCATTCTGATCTTGGTTTATGTATTTATGCTTCCCATTTCTATTCTTTTACTTCCAGCCTCTAATCACAATAAGCATTTCTTTCCCCAGATCCTGGGGCAACAAGGTCTGGACTAGATATTTGCAATTCTTAACTTCTCAGTGAATCTAAAGAAAATCTTTATAGCAAAATCATTCATGACGTTGTTCATGGTTAGAGCTGTTAAATGGAAATATAATTCTGTTGTGATTATTCCATTGCTTCTGTCACTGGTCCTATCTTTGTTTAATAGGAACTTGAGTACTTGTTTAATATTAATGCTAGTTTATTTCTATACTTCAGTATTGTTTCTGCCATTATGTACCTTCTGGCTTTAACCTTACTGAAAACAGCAGGCCTGCTTGTGCTCTTTCTGCTAATGATGGAAAGTCAGTGGCAATATATTGTTGAAATGAAGAGGAGAATCATGTCCATTATACTGTTGCTAGAAACAGGTCACCTGCAGCAACACATTATAGAGGGTATATATTTCAAAACCCTTGATTTACCTCTATGTAGTAAATAAGGCTTAGTAGATATTAGACAAGTAAAATATTCTTAAAGGAAACTTAGATCTTGGTTACGTTAAAAAAATGCACTAGTGTAACTTAAGTCAATCTGTATAGGTATTGTTTAGGAAACTGAAGGGATCAAGGTTTACATAAAGAAGGAACAAACAAGAGAAAAACAAGTTATTTGTTTGTCTTTCTACATAAAGCTCCTGTCCAATTCTCTGTCCTCTTTTAAGCCCTAATTTTTTTCTTTTCTTTGCACACATCAAATTACCCATAAAGAAATATTGGACATGCAATTTTGTTGTTAACGTCCCTGTGTGTGTGTGTGTGTGTTACTGTGTTGTTCTTCCTCTGACACTATTAGGCTTACTCCACCTTGTTTGTTTGTTCTGGATGTAGTTCTTTCCAAAAACCAACCATAGGAATGCATTTTAATTTTTTATTTTGCAGAAGATGGCATGGTCAACAATTACAGATGAGGGGAATAAGAAGCACAGAAGATTTGCCAATAATAAATTAACTGAAAATATTGATTGTAAAAACTGTTTATTTTTTCATTTTTATAATGTAATTTAAAGGACAGATTGTATTGTATTACACTCAAAACAAAAGGCTAGAAGGTTAGAAGGGTCTGGCGAAAGAGAATTACATACAAAAAAAGTTACCAATTAACTCATGTGGGAGTGACTATGTTAGTATATGTATTAAGCCTGTGATCATGTGAGTGTTTGTACCATTAATTAGCAGTACTGAATCTACTTTCCTGATTAATTTAATTCCTGGGTCCTCCTTAAATATTAAGTTGTGTTAAGAAGATTCCAATATAAATGATTATATATAAATAAAACATAATATATAGGTATAGCTTGTTTTTCTTCACAAACTAGTTCCAACTTGTTCCATTAGAGATACCCCTAGTCTAGTACATAACAAGGTTTTTTTTTTTAATTAACCATTTATCCATCAGATAATAGCTTCCCCAAGATTATTTTTTAACATTGCAGTAATATTGTGCAGTTGAGTGTCTAAAAATATCCACTCTATCATTGACTAACTCTTGTATTAGACCAGAAATTTCTGTTTAAAAATAAAAAAAAGATAAGGGGGAGTCAGGACTGTGGTTAATTAGAGCATGCCAATTAGTAAGATTAGTAAGATTAGCTTTATGGATTCATTAATGCTATTAATAGGCATTACTGTCACCAATTAAAGATCCGTATTTATATTTTAAACATAGGCCTGAAATAAAAACCGATGATGTATTTTAAAGTGCTCTTTCCTTGAGGGTGATATTTCCATAAAATATGAATTGCATTCTCTTTTTGGTAGAAACTGTCTGAAAGATATCTAGCTCTAGTGACATATCTGCCTGTCTAATGTTTAATATCAGATGTTTTGCTCATTAAATTACAAGATACTGAGAAAAAAAAGATGCCCTGCAGTTGCTCTCAGAACTGTGCTTTTGTGTACCATAGCAGTTCTTGCCTTTTTTTGTTTTAGGAGCAATTTTTTTATCGTAGGGTTTCAATGGACTTTATCTGATCTCTGGCTCAATTTGTCCATTGCCTACCTCTGTGTATCTTCAGAAGCCACATTTTGTTAAATCCATGAATGCATCTCTGGGAAAATGGACCAGGTTCAAAGTCAATTCCATTGATAGGAATTGGGTAGCACTCTGCATGAATCAAGAAAGAATTTGGCATGTTGCTTTCAGAATTTTGTTTCTATATGGGTGGGTAAAGCTCCATGCCAAAAAAAAGTGGCAGACATTTTTATGCTAATGAAGCAGGGGAGATTTAAATCCCCGCTTCATTAGCAATTGCAATACATCTAATGTGCATCCCTTTTACGAAAAATGGATGCAATCTAGACGTAGCCATATAGTATGACATCTTATACATCAGAAGTCATCAACACCATCTAGTCACCTGCACAGTAAACACAACAACTGAAATTAGACCAAAGCATTACAAGCATGACCACACAAACAACAGCTGTGGGAAAGTTTGAGCAGAAACAGGGAAAAAATGACCTATTAAAATCCCATTATTTAGGAATATCTTTTTTTCCTGAATACCAGTGACCTATGTCTAGCATTGATGCTCTTCATAGGAAGTAAATCATAACATACAACTTGTGCTGATTGAATACAATATACATCCTAACTATGGTTCTTTTTCCAGTTTTAAAGCACTGAAATATACCTGCCAAATGAGTGTATGGACGACTTGCCATTTATATTTGCTTTCTTTTAGCTCCAGACCAGTCTGAGTGAACCAATGACACTATCGAAGTCAATCTCACTTCCCCGTAGTGCATACTGGCATCACATCACCCGACAGAACAGTGTTGGAGAAATCTACAGTTTACAAGGCAAGTAACTTTACAAAGAAAATGGCATGTCCATTTAGCATCCTTCACATTGAACAGAATTCATGCTAATTGCTTTTTATTTGCATTGGTTGTTTCCCGTTCATTTCAGTTTATCAGCTGTCACCAGCCATAGAGGAACTCTGGAGATTTGCAATACATTTATTTTTAATCAGAGGGGTAGCCATGTTTGTCAGTACCCACAAGAGCAATGAGGAATCCTATTGCACCTTAAAGACAGATTTATTTAGGCATAACGTATGTCCAAATAAATCTGTTGGTCTTTAACGTGCCATAAGACTATTCACAATTTTGTTTAGTTATACTAAAGGAAAAAATTACTTCCAGAATTGCCATGCACCAGAAAGTCCATCTGATACTGTGATTTAAATAAAAGACTCTACATAGTAACTTATAAGTACCTAAATAATGGCTGGCATTTGGATCTGTTTGATGGTGTGTTCAGCAAAGAGCTTTTGTTGCATCTCCTTTCTCTAATAGGGATAGAGTATGAGGAGGACCAAACGGTATTCACCTCAGAGTTCTAAAGGAACTCAAATATGAGATTGCAAAACTACTTGCTATGATACATAACCAATATCAACCTTTGTACCTGATGACTGGAAAGGGAGCTAATGTAATGCCTGTCTTTAAACAGTGCTCCTGAGGTGATCCCGGCAATTGCAACCTGGTAAACCTAACTTCAGTACCAAGAAAAAAAATGTAGGAACTATAGTAAAGAAGAGTATTTTCATATGCATAGAAGCATGTTGAAGAAGAGCCAATATGACTTTTATAGAGGAAAGTCATGCCTCACCAATTTCTCAGAATTCGGAAGGTCTGCTGATGGATTGGTAAGCGGTCATAAGATAGGAAACAAAGAACAGTTTTGGTCAGTTTTCAGCATGGAGAGAGGTAAACAGCAAGGTCCTCTCAGAGATCTGTACTGGAACCAGGGCTGTTCAGTGTATTCGTAAATGATCTAGTAAAAGGTGGCAAAATTTCCATAATACAAAATCACTAATTATAGTTAAGACTAAAGCTACCTGAAAAGAGTTACTAAGGGATTTCACAAAACTGGGAAATTTTGCAAAAAAGAGGCTGATTAAATTAAATGTTGATAAATGCAAAGTAATCCACGTTGGAAAACATGATTCCACCTATACATGTGAAATGATGAGGTCTGAATTAGCTGTTACCACTCAAGAAAGAGATTTTGGAGTCATTGTGGATAGTCCTCTGAAAACATCTGCTCAGTATGCATTAACTGTCAAAAATGATAACAATGTTAAGTAACCATTGATGGTTAGTAAGACAAAATACCTTAATATCACTATGTAAACATATGATTCGTTCACACTTTGAATACTGTGTGCAGTTCTGGTCACTCCATCCTGGAAAAGATATACTGGAACTGGAAAAAAGTACAGAGTAGGCCAATTAAAACTTTTAGGGATATAAAACAGCTATTGTACGAGGAAGGATTAAAAAGACTGGATCTGTTCTGTTTAGAAAAGAGTTGAATGAGAAGCAATATGATAGAAGTCCGCAAAATCATGGTGTGGAGAAAGTGAATAAGTGCTTTTCATTCCTTCACATAATACAAGAACCAGAGGTCACCCAATGAAATGAATGGGCAGCAGGTTTATAACAAATATAAGATAGTGCTTCTCCACACAATGATGTGTTAACCTATGGAACTTGTTCCTAGGGGATGTTGTGAAGGCAAAAGCATAACTGAGTTAAAAAATGAATTAGATAAGTTGATGAAAGATAGGTACATCAATGGCTATTAGCCAAGATGGTCAAGTATGTAACCCTATACTCTGAGTATTCCTAAACCTCTGACTGCCAGAAACTAGGTGTGTGAGACCAGGGATGGATAACCTGATAATTGTCGTGTTTGGTTCATTCCATGTGAAGCCTCTGGCATGGGCCACTATCAGAAGACAAGATACTGAGCTAGATAGACCATTGATCTGACTCAGGATGACCATGTTTATATGCCCTAATATTCTGTAAGCTAGCTTCAGGGCATCTGATTAAATCTGCATAAAACTGATTATGAGTTTCAAGACTAAAATAAAAAGTCTTAAAATATTAGTGATTTTTGGGGAAGATGCTTATATCTAGAGACAAACGGTGTCTGTCATTGGCTTGACTCAATCTAGGCCTGATTCTGAGATTTGATGAAAAAGGCAGTGCTTTTTAGAGGATGGGATCTGTTATGGGACAGCAGGGACTTGAGTCTTATTGCAGTCGTGCCAATGACATGTTGTTGGAACCTGGAGCGAGTCAGTTCATCTCTTTGTGCTTTAGGTTCTCCTCGTGCCTTTTGCCTTGTGTATTTAGATAGATTCTCCTCAAACAGCCTATCATCTCCAGGCCTCTCCAAAGAGTTTGCAGGCCAAGATGGCATGTTGTAGTTGGCAGCACTGTGTGGCCGGGCAGCTCCCAGCCAAGGCAGTGAGTGAGCAGTTGGGTGGGCAGGCGCTGGGATAGTCAGGGCCCAAGGCCAGTCCTAATCATCTCCTATTATTTGTTTGAACAACATCCAGGATAAGTGGGCCTTGACTTTTTTTAGAACTTCCAAGTGCTAAAATAAGTAAAATTATTAATAATGATGACTAATGCTGACAATTAGTAACTTCTAAGTTAACTGGAAATGCAAGTAATTTGTTCTTTTATGGTAGAGGTTCTTTATGCATTTTAAAATTTAATAAATATATAAGAATGTTTTCATTCAAGCTATTAAAAACCCCAAATCTACATGTTATCTATCTCTGTGTAATTTTTGCCTGGCTTCTCATTATGATTGTATAGCTAAAACTACAAGTGAGAAATGATAGGATGGCTGAATTATCTTTCCTGAGAAAATATTTTACACTTTTTCATGAAAACAGGTGCAGTGTAGTGCACAGATGAAAGACCTGGGCTGCTTGTTTTGTTTGTGGGTTGTTTTTTTTTTTTTTAATCATCATATAAATTAAACGCAGCAGGTGGGAAGCTCCTGCAAAGATTGCAGAAGAGAAAACACTGGTACACTGAAACACATGTTTAAGTCCTGAATTCATCCCGTAATGTAAGCATCTTGAATGGAGTAAAGCATTCTTTTCTTCCCCTGCCTTATCCCTGGGCTGTCATGGCTGTGATGTGGGGCTACTGTGCCATGTTTCTTGGCATTGGAAGCCTTGTGGATGGGGGTGGAGGAAGGGGATCAGGGGTTTGGTTTAAAACAGCAATTCTAAGTGGCAAGGGGAAGCAGCGGGATTGGGCTGAAGCTGGGAGAGAGAGGAAGGGGGAGAGAGGAAGGAGGCAGACAAGATGCAAAGTGGTGTGATGACATCATTCTGTTGTCCTACAGGAATTTTTAATATATAGAGAGATAGTATCATTATTTCTATCAAATCCCCTGTCATAGCTGATAAACAAGGAGCCTTCAGGTGGTGTCAGGAAGGTTAACGTTAGTACGCATAACCCTAGACATCCCTGTATTTACACCCTACACACAGCTGCAATAATATTTACACAAAATATTTCTTTTGACATAAGGAAGCTAAAAATGTGCTGTTTTTTATTAGCATTGTAAAATGCATGTGTGAGCATTATATATGAAGTTACAAATTCCCTCTGTATGATGTTAGTAAAACGTGTTTAAGACCAGAACAACCTAGCCAAGTTAAAGATGACCAACAGATCTGTCCTAGACAAACTGAAGTGGATTTTCCTCAGTTCGTATATTATCAGTATACAAAGCCACTGAACTAATCACGGGGATTGTCCTGATCACGAACTTGAGAGACAGAGAATTCACACAGCTTCTGCACTTCAGGGAGAGCACGGGAAACCAGACCTCCTTCAGAAAGCCTTCATGACTTGTAAGACAAAGATAACTCTGGATGGTATGAGGAATGAGTTTTGAGACTCCAGCTTTATCTTTAACTATAGAAGACAAATAAATGAAGCAATTTGGTGTCTCTGCTTGGTCCTGGCCAGGCTAGGCAGTAAAAGCTGGCAAGGAGACTGTGAGTAAGAGAAATAGGCTTGAACAAAGACACAGTTTTGCTAGCTTTAGTCTTCTGGTTGTGTTTATGTGCTTGTAACCATTTCTACCTTTATCTCTTTTACTTGGTATCTCTTAATCTTTGCTCTTTGGCTAAAACTTATTTGCTTTCATTATAAAGCATCAGTGTTGTACAAGTTTAGTAAGGTATGTGCTCTTAGACAGCTAACAGGTTGGAGTGTTCTAATGTCAATGAACCTTACACTTCCTCTGTACAGAGAGAGGGACTTGTCCCTGCATTAGGATGTTTTGGGGGTGAATTTGAGGCTTAAGGGCTGGTGGCAAATTATTGGGGTCAGAGCTATGGACCAAAGCTGTACAGCCACAAGACTCCTAGGGTTAAAGACAGGTTGTGACTGAATCTGCTGGTAGCTGGATTGTCCTCCCAACCATCACAGTTTGTTAATACTAATGTTAGCCAGAATTTCTCAGCAGACATTTTGCTATTAACAGTAGCACAAGGTGTTACCATTGATGATAACAGGTTTAAAGGCTGTTATCACTGTACTGCAGTCCTTCTCTATGTGGGTAAACAGTTGATTTTCTATCAAATGACTATTCTGAATGTTTTTAATCCAGGATACTCTGATCAGTAATAGTTCGATAAAGAACAAGTCTCTTATTTTGACGTTTAATTTCTACAGGAAGGGAAACAAAGTATTTTAAGCAAACTAAATTAATAGCCAAAAGAAGTCTGCTTGGAGTTAATTTGAATTTTTCTCACTTCATTTGGTCTGCTAACTGCTGGGCACTAAAATGTTTTTTCCCAGTTTTATGTGTTGCACTAATATTTAATGGTAAGCCCAGGGAGTTTTTCCATCTGTTGTTTGCTAATACCTTAAATATTATTTTTAAAAGGGGACAATTGGATATCTCAGCTGTAGAGTACACTTGAGCTCCAATTCAGATTGCAAGTAACCAGAACAGGAATTAAAAATCT